GTGCCCATACGCCCTTTTTCCATATCCTGTGTCCATGCGCTGTTTTAGGTGATTAGTCATAGAATAGGGCGGTCAGCAAGTAGTTAACAAAAGTATTCAGCAAAGGGGAAGCACATTTTCCGATGCTCTCACTATATAGCAGTCCAACTGTCTGGCAATTTCTATATGGCTGCTTCCATGAATATTCCATTAGCACTTGCATGCTGAAAGATTTTGGTTGAATTATTTTAAATAATCCTTTTAAACCGAAAGCGAACATGAGGAAGAAACCAGGCATGAGGAAAGGGAAAAAAAAAGAGGCGGAGTCACTGAAGCCTCTGGAAGGACGCGAGAAATTGGAGATATTCATTAAATAGTTGCGGATTCAGATGATGAAAACATTAATAATGGATCGCTGCTGAGTGATTACAGGATGAAACGTGTCCAGAATATTCACATTTTTATTGCTCTTCTTCAAGGGAGAGTTTATTTGAAATCTGTAGATGCATTTATTGTTTAATTATTATTTTTAGCTGGAAAGGAGTGGTGAAAGACTCGTGGGAAAAAGTTTCAGCAGTGCGAATATGGAAAAAGGGCGTATGTGCATAAACACTTTCTGCCGGCATCTCGGCAATGTGAGATAAAGAAATTCATTAAAACCCCAAGTTCAATTGGAAAAAGGTCTAAGATACTATTTTACCGATAATTAAGGTTTGACCAGCTTCCGATTCGCCATGATAAGATTTTATCGGTCATCTCGAATTGCATCTTTTGCACATACGCCCTTTTTCTAGAGAACTCCTCTCTTTCCTCCTTGCTAGAGGAAAGAAAACTCTCCGGGAAGTACGCCGACTGGACCTCTGGACAGGGACGTCGGAGAGTCTGCCCCCGATGGCAGAGGGAAGATGGAAAGGAGCTTCGATGACGTGGGACTCCACACCATCCTCATCTTAAGAGGGCAGGATTCCGAAGCAAGGAAACGACTTTCCAGCTGCGAGTTTTCGGACGTGAACACGCGGCGGTGGTCCGCCTTTCCCCAACACTCTCGACCCTTTCGCGGTCACTCTCCAAAACGACACTTATACATATCGGGCGGATGGAACTGAATGGAATCCGGCAGGGAGGCTTGGCAATTATGAGGTGGATGAGGAAGGTGTCTGGGTCCAACTCCCATCGTTAAACTTTAAAAGAGGTCATCATGAGATAATAGGAGACGGTCCAGAAAGACTGTCATCGGCGAGAGATTTGAAAGAAGAAAGTCACGTTGGTCCTTGCAATATAGACGTTGACCCTGGAAAGAGAGAGGATGGGAAACCCCAGACAGAGTTTCATTCTATGCCATGTGAAAGGCGACAGAGGGGCGTTCGTTCAAGGGGATTCCTTCCCCCCTTTTTCTATTTTCGCCTCCATCTAACATTGGACAGGAAATTGGAATTGGGCGAGATATACCGAGAGAGATTCCTTCTAGGTTCCATTGATCCGCGTGGAGGAATCTCAGGTACCAAGTCTAACAGATGGACTCTTCCCCAAGGGCTCTAGCCCAATCAAGCAGAACTGAATCTTTCACATTATTGTACCGGGTTTATCTCTGGCGCTGGCGATACCTCGCAGGCACGACCGGTGCCTACCTCGAGGCACTTAGAGTAAAGACAGTAATAAGTTCTGGGAATTCCAGAAAAGATGGCCATCTTCATTCATTGTGGAATATAAATAACACTTTCGCTGCCAAGCCATTATTTGCAGGCCGTTCCCCCGGGGCCAAAGTAATTCTCCTAATTCTGGTGTGCTTGACACAAGCGATTCCGTGAAAGGTGAAATCCACTGGAGATGATGAACGCATGGGGCGGCAATCGACAAGCCGTAATGACTGTCGGCAATCAAGCGGTACCTATGTCGTACCGTTGAATTTCCAACCGATCTTGGAGTGCCATTGCTCCCACATTCTTTGTATTCCTTGGACCACGAACCTTACGACTTCAGCCTGATTCCAAAAATGAGGTGCCTTCGATGAATGGCNTTTTTGCGTAATGGATCAGTTCCTCTGGGATGATCCTCGGGAAAAAAATTAATAGAACTGTAAAAAACGTTTCCTCATCCATAAAAAGTTCATGTATCTGCATGCATTTTCAGGGATCCTCATGCAATTTGGATTCGTGCCTCGCAATGGCAGTCGCATGCCCTTTGCCATCTCTACAAAATATGCCATAACTCATGAATGGGTATCCATAAATTCATAGAATTTCAAGAGCTATAGGAAAACATGGTAGCCAACGTTCCATTAAAATTTCAGACTAATCGATTACAAGGTATGGATTCCATAGAAAACTTTCAAGTTGCATTCTTTTCTTGTCATCCATGCATTCCGAAAGGGATCATTCTGAAACAGAGCGTCTGCACACAGTTTCCTCATATGAAAACCAGTTCTGGACCTTTTTCATATATCCACGTACTACTGTATATATAAAGACTCCCGTAATGTGCCCTATACGCAGAAATGAGGAAGAAGTAATTTCCACGTTACCCTTATACGGAGATATGCTTATATTGAAAACATTGTAAAAAAGAAATGAGAAATGAAACACCGCCAATTTGATTTAAAATTGACCTCATCAGAAGGCGACGATAAAATTCGTAAGATGGAAGGAAGAGGTCCATAGATCGTATCCCGCAAAGCAATGCAAACCACCCGTCGGCAGGTCGTATGATCTGGTAGAAAGGACCTGTACGACCCGCCGGCGGGTCGTATGGCAGCGAAAGTGTTAAGGGTTTCAAGTGACAAAGCCACGCGAATAATGCTAATAACTTCATCCTGGACTTGGTGTATCACATGCAGAGGTTGAAAGATAGGAAAAACGATCGTGGAAGTTCTGCGGCGCTAGGAGCTTTTCATTTTCCCACAGCTCCGATAGCCATCTGAGTGTCCTCGCACGTTCCTGCATGTGAAGCGTGATCCCAAGTACTGTAAAGTAGTAAAACCACGACTGGAATGTGCCGAGGGTTCCCAACACCACCAAACGTACTGTAGGATGGGCCCTGTCAATCTGTTCAGTTTTCTTCCATCCCCTATCCACTTTTCACCATGTGGCTTACAAATGTGGAGGAAGAGCGTCACGATGTTTTCGTCATCTGTTTTCCGAAGTTATCAAATATACATGTTTAGAATTGAAACGAAGTGTCAAGAGAGAGCCGACTAGGAAGTGGAACTTCTGGGACCTCTCGTCAGTCTATAACAACGCAACCCCCACCGGCCTGGGAAATGTTCATAGTCTTACATTTAGTTCAAGAATTCAGGTTTAATTCAGGTTTCCCACCTCTTTTTCGTCTCTTCACAAAGGCTTTAACAAAATCCAGTGAATGTATTTAATGCCTTGAGTAAAATATGTCGACGAACTGCTTTTCTCATAATCTTCTCGAAATCAGAATAACATGGACCTGTCTACAACACAGTTTGGTTCCAAAAGTGAGAAGTTATGGGGTCCAGTTTCTTACTTCAGATAAATACTTTTTCTGTTTTGACTCCTTCCCTCTACTGGCATACAGGTAGCTCTTGCCGTTTCCCACGGATTCATGTTCTCACACATTTGGAATTGTCTGTACAAGCTGGTGTCCCGGAAAAAAACGTTCCTAAGAAATACTTTCTTCCCCCCCACATTTCCTTTATCGTGGGAATCTTTATGATTTTAATATAGGCACTGTGCGAGACAGACAAGTCTCCGATCGTTGTTAGGAAACTATTTACAAAGGTTTACTAATTTCAGAGCTGCTCCTACAAATAAAATTAAAAAAAACTTCAGTACTCTCAATGCGACATAATTTTCAATCAAATTTTCACCAAATTCTGATTGCAGTGTTGTGCAATGAGAATCATATGCAATAGGTTCATGAATTTCAAACCAAAAATTGACTAATTTTAAGCAAATTGAAAACAATTGTATTTAAATCCAAATCAATGTTGTCCATAGAATCTGATTCATTCCAGTTATAAACCAAATCATTCTTGTTAGATCCAAACCTAAACCATAGCAATTTTATTGGCAAAAATTGCATTGATTTTCACTATTCAGTTCATCATTTCACCAATGATGACAAAAAATAGTTGCAGTACATCCTTCCCAAGATATAAGGTCATCAGCCTCTGATATAAGGTCATCATCCCTCTAGCTATTTTGTGCTGCTACAAATGTGCATTGCAGCAAATAAAATAAAAAAAAGAATTTATTCCATGAATACAAACTGGAAAAAAGGTGCAAAGAGCAGCAACTGTCAAATGAAGCCCAAAATGGCAGAAAATTCAATAATAATTGAGGATTCACATAATGTAGTTATAGGTCAGAAAGACCTGAGTCCATTGCATCCTTAGTCTCACTATCATGACAGGAAGATGTAGAAATAGAAACCAAAAGAGGAGAGGGAAATTTCACACTTTCTAGCAAACAGATCCAAAAGCTGCTTCCTGAAAAGGAAATCAATGCACCAGCAAACATGCTAAAGAAAGTGGCTCCATATGATGGGTTTTTATTCCACAACAAAAGTGGACAAGGAAAATAAAAACTGAGAAGTGAAGATGCAATGCTGATGGAATCATGACAATTTCAGATTCTGATAATCCAAGCCTCAGAAACTTTAACTGGTATGTTTTATTACCCCATAAATGAAGAACTTGCAAAATATGTCAATTAGTTTGGAGCAGATGAGCATGTTTACCATGAACACCTAAGAAACCAAAAAAAAATTGAAATAGAAGGCCATATATCTTCCACCATGAAGTATAAAGGAAAGAAGTGAAGAGGTGAAAACATGAAGCTGGGGTAAAACCAAAGAAATAAAAACTACCAGTTGCATGTGGATCCTCCCTATTGACTTTTAGTAATGCTAGAAACAGTGCTATAACATTGCAACTCTCAAAGGAAGGAAACCAAAGTAATCATACCACGATTAACTGAGAAACTGGAATGAAATCACAGTGAGAATGTGTGATAGGAAGAGCATGGAAGATCAGATCACAGTGGCACGAGTGATCCTCATCGCAGGGCTTGCCGGATCACTGCAGAGTTCCCATCCACAAACTGAGTGCGGAACAGGACATTGGCATTGTTGAACATCCCATCCTTCAGTGACACAATGATGAACTGAAAGAGAGAGAGCATTTCTGCATGAGGAGAATGCAAATACTAAGGCTGCTTGCTCTAAGCTTCCCAGATGATGACATGCATTGTTGATCAGGTAAAAAAATGCCTTCTTCAGTGTCTCTTAACATAGTCCACCTGTAAAATAATGAGGGATCTGAAGGGTGAAAAGGAAAGAAGAGAACAAAAGAGGATGCCAGAAGACTACAATAAAGTGAATGGGTGGCTGTTGGGAATAAGGTGAAACAAAGTCCACTCCATTATAGGTAGCCCTGAAGCTATATATTTAAATTTTATTTTGCAATATGTTTGTAGCAAAGTTACTGGTTTCTGCTTCTTGTTTTACATGCTGATGTGGCAACACCTTATTGGTGACCAAAACCTTATGAGCCTGCTGGCTTCAAATTTGTCTTCAATCATCCAATAGTGACTTGATTACAGACTGTCCTAGATGTCCATCACATCAAAGGTGAAGGAGTTATGTGTGCTGCAATTAGAAGTTTCACCTCCCTGAATTTAACCTCTTCATAACAGCTCTTGGCACAGAAACCTCACTCAAGTTTCAAGAAAGATCTGGAGTTGTTCACTTCCCAACAATAAAATGGACAACTCTCGCTTTTCTAGCAAGCAGAAAACCACACTAAACTTGTTGCCATTCTCCTATACAAAAATAATAAAAGAAAACAAGACAACAGCCTTGTGTGGCAGAACCAATGATTCACTGCATTGGAAATTTTGTTTGGCATAAGTTATTAAACTTTGGGAATGACTTCCATACAGCCCTCAGAACGCAAATACTGAAGACACAACTCAAAATTTTGTTCATTATTACAACATCACAAAATCAAACCATTAATGTGCCATCTGGTTTAAACGGTGAAAGTGGCAATATGAAGCCCAAAGCCACCTGCCATCAGCAGCAAAGAGTCTCACCAAAGTAAATTGATAACTTCTGGCATGGCTTCTGATTAAAGGTCCCATCGAGAATTTACAAGATAAGATGTTACTAGATAGCACAAATGACAAGGAAGTTCTCAGGCAGGTCAAACATAGTTTCCCATGGAAAATAAGGGAGACTTCCTTAAAAGTTTGCAAAACACCCTTCCCATACAGCATATTTACAAAGAAGGGAGATATGATACCTTCCAAAGACTATCTTTGCCAAAGGATAAAAATGGAGAAGTAGCATATCAAATGCTCTTTTCTGAGTCTGGGATTAGTTAATATGGGCCAACCTGGGAGTGCATAAAGTGAGACTTGATTATGCGTCCGATGTTTTGGGTGTGGGATAGGTCAAGGGCAGAGTCCACCTCATCAAGGATGTAGATGGGAGCTGGCTTGAAGAGGAGCATAGCTAGGATCAATGAGAGGGCCACCAGACTCCGCTGCCCCCCACTGAGCTCATTTAGACTCTCTTTCCATGATCCTCCAAATGCAACCTGAATTTCAGATTTCCAGAAAGAATTAGAATCAGTTTCCCTGAGTTGAATATAATCTCCATGTTAATTGAAGGTACAGGTCCTCCTTCCTACCCTCTAATTTACTATTTTACAATAGTAAATTGGAGGGTGAAAATACGTTGCCATAGATAATTTTACATGCACATTTCGAATATCCAATCAAAATTGAAATATGTGCTTTCCAACGTGCAAATTAGTGAAGCCTATAAAAAGGCAGCAGCTATTGACCTCTTCTAAGCATGTCTGTTGGAACATGTAATTTTTCATTTCATTACATTATTATCATAATTCTTTAATCACCAGTCCAAAGTTTATCCTTTTTTATACACATATTGGTAATGATAAATTGAATCTCTATAAATTTTCATTTATATACTTCATAGAATAAAAACATCATTTTGGTTTTTGTGATTGTTATCTTAATTTTGTCCACCAGTGTATAATGATACAATGTAGACAGCACAAATTTTCATTCAAGCAACTAAATACAGGAATCCTTCTCTCTTTTCCCCAACTGTGATGAAATTGAGGCAATTTCTCTTAACTTTTTACAATTTTCTGGTTTCTGTACAAATTACCAATCCAAGGGATATCTGACCTTGATTTCAAGGCCATCAAGTACATTCTGTCCCTCGGGTGGATCAAGTCGTGCCTGGCTCCCAGGGAGCAACGTGGAGAAGATGGTACCAAAATCCCGATTAACCCTGAGGTGGGCTGTGCGGAGGACCTCAGTCTTTTTCTCGTCAAGGTCCCGCATGAAGTCCTCAATCTTCTGTTTATCCTTTTCCACCTGAGCCTTTTTTGTAAGCAAGTCTTTGTACTCCTTTTCTGTCTGCTCAATAAGGGTTACGGCATCTACATTTATGTTCTTCTCCAACTGAGACTTCTTCTCCTGGAGGGCATTGATCTTTTTGCCAGCCTCAATAGGATTCTTGGCTTGGAAGTCGAATGCACTTCCAGGCTTCCCAAAGAATTTCTGCTGGTCTCTGATCCATTGATGCTGTGATAGCAGTTGTTGAACCTGGAGAAATAAAAAAAAGTTGTCAGATATGGGGAGTCCTTGTTTCTTTCATTGGACAGAAACAGGGACTAAGATTTCAATTGGAGCTAATTGTTTTCATTTTGTCACTAGTACACAAGTTTTTTGTAGTTCTTGAAAGAAAAAACTGACAGCAGCACCTTCTGAGAAGCAGCCTTGGCTTCAGAGGCCAGCTTCTGGATTTGATACTCCTGTTGCTTCAGTTGGAGTTCCAGTTCATTATTCTCCTTCTTGAGCTTCTCTGCCTTGCGCACTGCAGCTTGGACCTCATGAGTTGCAGCAGCCAAGCGTTGCTTCTGCTCCTGCACTGCCTGTTTGCAATCCTTCACTTCTGCCTATGCAGAAAAAGTACCATCCTTTGAATTAAATACTTCTAAACATGGACCAGAGAAATACAGCAAAACAACACAGTCAAGACTTCATTTTTGGTGTTTTTTAAAGTTCACAATTAGCTATAAAATATAATCACAAGAAAATACTTTTTTATTTATTAATTTCATCCATGTTAAAATGAAATTAGCTTTTCAAAAGCTTTATTGAAAACTTTCAGTAACTTGATAGATACACTAGGGACATGCATGAGGGTACCTTGGCCTCATCGAGTCTCTTTTTGGCTTCTTCCTCCTGTTCAGTGAGGGCCTGGATAGCAACATGACAATTGGCAATCATCTCTTCACCCAATGTGATGGCCTTCTCCAGCTCCTGAACCTCAAGTGCCAGTGTGTCTGCATCCTGCATTGTGAATGTAAAAATGACATCAAGGAATGCCCTAAATCAAACAAGATCACAGTCACAGAATGGAAGACTTACCTGCTCCTTCTCCTTCCATTTCTGATGTGAGAGGGTGGCAGCCTTCTGACAAGCATTCAGGTGCTCCTTCGCTGCTTTCATCTCCCTCTCTTGAAGGGAGGCTATGTCTGCCATCTTGCTCCGAACCTCTTTCAGCCTTGTCTGAGCTGCTTTCTTCTCCTCCTCCAGCTTCTTCATCTTTGCCTTCTCCTCCTCAATTTGTGCTTTGATCTCATCAATTTCCTCTTGATCCCTGTGGGATTTGGAGCTCTTGACACGATCCTCCAGCAATTCAACCTCTGTGCTCTTCAGTTCTACTTGCTCCTTCAATGCATTCCACCTGTTCTCGAAATACAGATTCATGAGAAGCTCTAAATTTGTCCATTTTATGCTGAGAAACATGAATGTTGGGAGGAAGACCTTTCTGATATTGCCATGATGCTGGTCAGCTGGCGCTCAACATCTTCAAGTCCCTTCACCTTCTCATCTAACTCCTGGATGGAATTCTTTAATTGGTACAGTTGAGCCAAGACTGATTGGCCCTTTGACCTGGCACCTGTCATAAGAAACAAATCCTAATTACATACATTGGCATACATGTGATGTGCAATTGGGAAGAACATGATGATGATGCTGAGAACTACAGGGTGGTGCATAATAAGCTGAACATTTTAAAAATATCATAACTTTAAAAGTTTTTTTTAGGCTTGTAATTTTTTGTGTTTTTCTTACAGGTAACCCTTGGAGAATTTAATTACGGAGAGGTACACAATTGCTCAGTGGACCAAAATAGCCACAATGTTCTTGGAAAACAATCGGTCAGCAGTTCTAATGCAACGAGCATATAGACAATTTTATAAAGTTCGCGAGGCACCGAGTAGGAACACAATTTACACTGTGGATCAAAATTTTGAAGAAAGGGGGACTGTTGCGGATGCCAGACACACTGGAAGACCTCGTAGTGGTCAATCAATAGAAAACATTGCATGTGTATGGGAGAGTGTTGCAGATCAACCCCAAACATCAACCAGAAGACGCTCTGCTCAATTGGCGATCTCTCGTCGCTCGCTGCAGCGTATTTTGAGTAAGGACTTGCATCACTTTCCGTACAAGATTCAATTAGTCCAAGCCCTTTGTCCTAAAGACAAGCAAGCGCATCACACCCGTGCCTTCATAAACCTCGCAGAAAATGAGAATTTTATTTCAAATTTGATGATGAGCGACGAAGCACATTTCAGTTAAGTGGCTTTGTTAATAAACAAAACTGTCGATATTGGGGCAGTGCGAACCCAAGAATAACTCACCAGAGACCACTGCATCCAGCTAAGGTAACGGTTTGGTGTGCCGTAACAGTAGAACGCATCATTGGGCCTTATTTCTTCGAGGATGATGATGGTGTTGTTCAGACAATCAATGGAGAGCGCAATAGGACAATGATTGGAAATTTTTTTATGCCACAGCTACCAGAACACCACAATATGTGGTTCCAACAAGATGGCACCACGTCTCACACCGCTCAAGCCACAATGGACCTCCTAAGGCAGCATTTTCCAAATCGCATTATATCGAAAATTGGTGATGTGAGATGGCCACCGCACTCGCTGGATTTGACGGCCCCAGACTTTTTTCTTTGGGGCTATCTCAAGGATAAAGTGTATGCCAATAACCCTCAAACCATAGAGGCCCTAAAAGAGAACATCAGGCATGAGGTAGTCGCAATATCTCCTGAAACTCTGAGAAATGTCATGGAAAACACCATGAGAAGAGCACATGATTGCAAGCAAGAAACCCCCTTCTTGCTTGCAATCATGTGCTCTCTCATTGGTCATTTGACTGATATGATTTTTCACATATGATGTAAAAAATTTCCAAGAATAAAGCTTTCATTCACTGTTTTGATAGTTCATTTATTACACTTCGTTCTAAAGTTACAGAGAAAAAAAAGTGTTCAGCTTATTTTGCGCCACCCTGTATAAATGTTATTCTACATTAAGCTGCTTATCAATGTAAGCTTACAAATCAATTTAACATTATCATATAAATATATATTATTTTTATCATTAGCTTTTTCCTGCATATTTTTCACTTCGTTGGGGACACCAAGCTACATCACTGACCTCCAGTGAGAGTTCCCATGGGATTGCAGGAATCCCCATCAAGCGTAACACACATGGTCCTGATGCTTTTGTCATAGGCAATACGCTTGGCCACGCTCATGTCTGTGCAAATAAATGTATTGCCAAACACCCATTGCATGGCAGGATGAAGGCTCTTGTCATATGAGATCAGGCTCAGGGCTGGCCATACATTCTCCTTCCCCACCTAGAAAGATCCAACAATCCAACCTACAACCAGGCTCATCTATAATGTCACTTCTACTTGTGATTGGATTACAAATTACCCTCCCCCCCTCACTACCCCAGCATTCCCTCTCTCCTCATTCATATAGTCCTTTCACAAATGCATACATTCCTCATGGATGATCCAGAAATTGTTAAGCAACAAATGTGGGGAGCTTTCATTTCAATTGTGGTCTGTTGGATGTTGCAAAACTCTGCAGAGTTGAGCATAAGAAATTCAGCAATGGCTTTCACCTTGCGTGACCCAATGCTATGATATATTTGAAGATGTGTTATTCATATCTCCTTTACACTATCACACCCACAGGCCTTCTCACTATTCAAATTCAACTCAAAATGCTGAAAATACAATTCTAATACCTCTACTTTATAAGTAACACATGATGAATCTAAGGTGCCAGTGGCTCACCAGTCAAAACAAATTAACTAGGGGTTCATAATAGGGAAGATATAAAGATGAAAAATGGATAAAGGAGGACACGTACAAGGCGCTGAGCAGCCCGGATCTTTTCATCTGAGATGCGGGAGCTGGAGATTTTGTTGAGAGGGATGATGGTGGTTCGACTGGTTAGCTGGCCACGATCAATCAACAGCTTGCTGGTCACCTCTGTGTCTGTCACCACATTGTACAGCTGCCCAATACATACAAGAGGATAAATCACTTCACAACATGAATACGTAGCATTTTAACACTGATGCTAATCCAATTAGTATTAGGAATCATATGGCACAAAAACCTTGCACAGCACAAGCATTATCTTAAAGACACTAATATGCACTGGAAGATAATCCATAAAAGAGCATCAAACCTAAACCCAATAAGTTCAATATCATTTGTGCAAGGAAATAAAACCTAAAATTCAATTACAGCAATTCATTCAATATGTGTAATACCAGAGATAAGCACAACAACTCTAAGACAGGAACTCAGAAAAACAACTTTGATGAGCAGCAAAACAAATCAAATTTGATTATAAAACCTGAAGAGAATGAAACTCTTAAGAGCTCTTTCTAGGCCAAAGATAAATTTATTTTCCTCACCTTTCCACCAGCAGTAACTTGTAATGCCTCTGCAAAGCGAGGATCGTGAATTTGAAAGAGCTTCGCCAAGACCCCTTTGACACGACTCCGGTCAAAATTGGGTGCAGGGTCCTTGTAGCGAAAATTCAGATAGGGAAAGCTGTCAAATACAGCAAAATGTTGCTTAAGAGCTTCCTGAACTTTACAGCATCTGTATATATTCTGAAACCATATGGTAATCAAAGAGACTAACACCAAACTAGTAACATAATTAAAATTATGCATAAAACTTCTCTCAAAATTAAAGTCAGAAGCAACTATTATATGAGAAAAATTTTATTAATTTATACATCTAGATATCATTAGCATTCATGAAGGCACATGAGAGCTATTACCATTTAAGACTTGTCTCTTACCAGAAACAAATTTTTAATAATTTTATATACATCATGTTCTCTCTACATGACTGACTTTTTGGTTGTTAAAGAAAAAACTATGAAAAAATTGTGAAGTTGGGCTGACCTGGATTCCAGAGAGTTAACCTGATGCTGAAGGCGTCGAATATCCTGTGAGAGAGCATTTCGCCGTGCCTCTAGCTCTTCCCTCTGTCCCTCTCTATAACTGAGTCTCCCCAGCTGGTGCTGGAGTGCCTGGATCTCCTTCTTCCCACGTTCCAGATCCTGCACATCCTGATTGCCACCACTCTGCCGACGCTTGGCCTGTCCCTCTTTTTCTCGCAGGTCTTCTTGTGCATGTTTCAAGCGGGAGCCACACATCCTGTGCTCTGTCTCTGCACTGCTTATTTTTGCCTCAGCATCTGTCCAGAGTTTCACATTTACAATCTATGCCCTCAAAGTTCCTTGAATAGGTTATGAGCAATCTTCTGATATACTGTACAGTATATCACAATTTATGACAGGTCAGGTAGGAATCAACAGTATTTCCCCAATATCTAAGGCCTAATGAATTGGCTCTACAATGACCCTCTCTCAATTACTGACATCATAGAACAGTATTCAAGGAGCATAAGGAATCATGTATTAGTGACCTGATAGCAATTAAAACCTACTTATACATCAACAAGGAAATTTTACTCATCAAAGAGGTTTCTTGAACCTTGTCCATTTTCTTGTTTTAGAGGATTATCAAGTGAGTAACTTAATGTGTTCACATTGATGCATTCAAACTAAAATGAAATTGTCAAATTGCTTATATTTTACTACAACTGCATTACTAGTAGAGATGCAACGATATTTTATCGGTTATCGGTATCGGCCGATATTGGGTGATTCTGATTTATTGGCCTAAAACGATATATGACTTGCCGATAACCAATATTGAAATTACACCTGAAGTATGCCAAACGCTAAGTATATAAAGCGAATGATGAATACTCTCTCCTATTTCTCATTAGACAACATTTCACTTGACTCGAACACACGTTCATGGGACGTTCCTCATGCATGAGTGTCAAAGTCAAGTGAAAAAATGTCCAAATCAAGTGAAAACACTGCAGAAGGTTGAAAATGCCTAAATGACATGTTTTCATTAAAAAAATAGAAGTATTAGGCTGCTGAAAATGTAAGCATTTTTCCCCTTTGGATTGGGATTCCCATGGGATTTGACCTTCACTGCCGTGGTTCCTCAACATCCCAATTTGATGGGAGCACTCCATGCTCCCATCTCTAGTTGTGAACTCCCTTCCCAAGCATGCTGGCACTGGAACTAGGAAATGTACACTTGACTTGGCTAGGTTAGAGTCCAGGCCACCCTGTCATGGGACATAAGCTCATTACCCAATCACCCAAGAGAGATATGAGAAGCGTCATCTATTCAGCTTGGCCTAATGCCATAATGGAATTAGGCTGAGTTGAAGGCCGAGTTTTGCATAAAGTACGGAGTAGGCTATGGTAGTAGCCATAGCCTACTCTGTACTTTCTGTGAAAATAGACATTGCTTGTGTAAGCATGAAGAACCCAGGCCTAGGTGGATCCCAAAACCTCAGTACAAAAATTACAAGACTATAGTCTGATTTCAACTCTTTCATGCCCAGAGGTTCCATTTGGAACCAATGATTATCAAAATGTTTATCATCTTTATATTCATGTTATATTCATGACTGTGCTGATGGCCACATTTGACCGGTAGACTGATGGTGCATTTTGAACTCATACCCAATGACTGGTGCCAGAGCCGGAGTGGTCATTATGATCTATATTCTATAGATTGCGAAAGTAACATGAAATCGCATACGAATTCAAATAGGCCTATTTGGAAGGCTTGAGATACTTATCAATGAGTCTCCTGAAAATGATAGAGACTACTTTTAGACCTTTCCAACTTGTCTGTCTGCATCCATCAGTGAGTCCATCAAGGTTACCAATTGCTGATATGAGCGCTTAACACCACTCGCTAATGCACAGCATAAAAGGAGATGCAATGATTCCACAGTCTTAACAGCTATTTTCCTCCACCAGTTCCTACAATCAGGCTGAAATACAGTAAGTCCTTGATTTATGTCGTGGATGCATTCCTGGAAAACATGACGAAAACTAAACCTATTTTCCCATGGACTAAATTACATACAGGAAGCCCTTGATCTACGATGTTATATCAGAACAACACAACGTATATGGGGTATATGTTAGCGACATTATATGGAAAGGATGTAAATCGAGGACCCCTTGTATAATCTAATCGATATTTTTTTCTGGGAGAGGGTGGCAGGGAGGCTTTCAGTGAGACAGGAGGGCCGGCAACAAGCTGCACTCACACACTCACGTAGTTTTTTTTTGCATTTTGCCCTCCTTCAGGCTTGGCATCAACAGCTTCCAACCTTACCGTAGCCATGACGTCAATGGTGCAACACCAGAGGCCAATCTCTGTGGCTGTCAATACATCAATACTGTAATATAATAAATATGATTGCCTTAGAAATTTTCCTGAAAAGCAGTTATGTTAGCATTTCATCTTCATGGCAAATTATCTGATGTGTTAACAATTTGTCAGTCATGTCTGTCTGGGTGTCCATTAGAGGTATGAAGGAGTGAACTTTGACATTCTTGACATTTTCTGAACTGAGCACTACTTTGAAAAAAAAAAAAAAGAAGTAATTGCTATTCCACCTAATTACAAGTTCCAGGATAGAACATAGAAAAGAAAATGCCTGATGGAAATCCAATGTAATATTTTAACAATCCACATTGAAGAGCCTGGCTTCAGCATGAAGAAAACATTTCGTCTCACTGTTGGAGAAATGGCAAAAGCATGAGGTGCACCACTGGTGCACCTCAAGCAAGCTTTCTCCATCAGACCTGGTCCCAAGTAAAACTTAACAGTGGAGAGGTTAATGCCTCAGGGTGGCTTTCTGAATAGAGAACTATCCGATAATACAGCTTTATTCTGGAGAAAATACATTATATTTCCTGGAAATAAAGCAGCATTATCGGATAGTTCTCTGTTCAAAATCTACCCTGAATGTGTGAATATAAATGTAGATATAGATATCGGTATCGGTTCCTTTCCAATATTGGAATTATTGGTATATCGGATATCGGTCAAAATTCAATATCGTTGCATCTCTAATTACTAGTTCAGCAAATAAAACCATTTTAAATTATGCATAACATATCAAATTTGATTTTGGAGCATGTTTCTCTTTATATTCACATTCTAAAAGTTCAGTTCAGGGAAAATTGAACCTGTCTTTTCACCTTTTGCAATGGCTAATAGCACCTGTAGATAACTACTAATTTCCTTTTCTTTCTTCAGAATTCAGACATAACTTCATTGCAAAATCAACATTCCCCATGTCCACAGAATTTTGTGCTAAGATAAGTTAGGAGGAATCCATGGCTCTTCATACTGAGAAAAAACTTACAGCTGAAGCTTGCAGTGCTGCTGCAATCAGGTATGGTAAGATGAGATCTTTATATTTGGAAAAAAAGTACGTGTGAAAGTTTTTCACATTTTCTAGGTTTCCCAGGATATCACTACCTAATATAAAAACAGAGATGCATACCCATGATCTGCTGCTGAAGGGAGGCAGCATCACCCTCATCCCCACCAGAATAAAGACCAGATGAGACAGCCTGGAAGCGCTTTCTTGCCTTCTCCAATTCCTCAGCATCCCGCTTCTCATTGGAGCGCAATTCCTCAAACAGTGATTCCATGCGAGACTTTTGGGCCTCCTTGGTAGCAAGACTTCCCTTGTCCTATTAGATGGAAGAGGTGAGAATGAACTTTGGAAAATCACATTGCTACCTATGATTATAATAAATTTTCTTATCAATTGCTTTGAAAATGTTCACATGTCATAAGATTATATACAATTTTTAGAAAAAAAACTCTTGGAATATGTAGAAAAACTCATTCATGTTCTGCCTGGTGAAAAACCCAAGCAGGGTTCTAAGCATCCTTTTTTATACAATTGCTGTCATTGAAACTATGATGAACCTCTAAAATTCAACTAACCTTTAATTCACATTACTAATTTGTTCTCTTTAGGTGGTGTTTTATCTCATTTTTTATTTGTTTTATCTTTCACCTTTAACCTTTTCAGACCTGGCATCCATTCCAATGGACATTGCATTTACATTGTGTCTATGGCAATTTCTAAAGATTCTCGTGACTTTGCACTCCATATTACACTACAATGGGTGCAATTATGCATGGCTCAGTTCCATCAGAGGCCTTCTTTCGCCCATTAGTTTTGCAATCTTCAGTTATTTAATTAAATGTACAATATATAATGTATGGTATATGGTAAATTTATACAAAATATGAATACTACATATAAAGCATGAAAACTTCAATTACAATCACAAAAGAGCTCAAAAATGCAAAAAATGATAGTATTCTGATAGTGGCCTTAATTCAGGTCTGAAAGGGTTAATACTTTCCAACCCCCCTCTCAAATGATGACCTGAATGCAAAGGATAAACTTGAATCTTGAAAATAGAAAATTTCGTTAAAAGTACAAATGAGGTGGTGCAAAACACAGCCCCCTCCTTCCATATGAAAAACAAAGAAAACTGGTATAAAACTGAATACATAAAAAAATTCCTGATTAAAGGGAAATATATATTTCACTATTTTGCATTTCCACCACAAGGAGACAGGAAAGAGCTGATTCACTTCAGATGAGACAGGCTTTCAAGTAAGTCTTTCATGGCTAGAGCCAACTACAACTGGTATTGGGTGAGTGCTGCAAATGTCAGCACTCTAAGCAAATTTTTCCCTTTCACCTGGCCTGGTGATTATTGTAATGGAGCCTCCTTGTTCACATTGGATTTGGTCATACCTTTATTATAAACCTCCTTGTACCATACACTCGAGTGCCTCGGGCCTTTCCTTTCCAAAGGTCTGGGTCAAATGTGAAGTTTGGTCAGATGTTGGCAATCTCAGCACACCTATGTATCACAGTCATTTACAAAGGACTCAAAAATGAATGCAACAACCTAATAAAATAATACTTGGTGTGGACAAGAAGAAAATAATGTGCAAACGCTTAGCAAAATCACAAGGTTTTGTTGGATTTTCAGAGTGCAATAAGAGAAGGCACTCACTGCAAGAAAACTACAACGGCAAATATTGCTGTTTTTAGCACATGTTTGTAATAGTACCACCATCTGAAAATACATATCTACCTATGCCTAGGGGACTGGTAGTGAAATCAGAAGTTTGACTATTGCAAAGTGCTGAGATTGTCCCTAGTGCCGACATTCGCAGCACTTACCCTACTGCTGAATGCACAGTTTTTCAGACAATAGGAATTGTATGTGTTTGATCTCTTATGACAGCAGTCACTTCCATTTCTTCATGGAATTGGTTGATTTAAACCAAAGTTTCAGGGTTGAGTTTCACTCACATCTTGAAGACCCTTCTCCAAGCCCTTAAGTTTGTTTTTTTCGGCTTTGAGCTTGTAGCGGACATCCTGTAGGTCTCCCTCCACACGTGCCTCTTGCTTCTGCTTATCTGACTGTGCTTTCTCCAGCTCTTCTAGTTTCTTTCCACTCTCCTGCAGGAAGCAATATCCTTCATCTCTCACTTGATCCTTTGCCATGTCTTGCAAAATAAACAACTTTTAGAGTCATGCCTGGTCTTTCTTGGCTTGCAGTTCCTGGATTAGACTCTCCAGTGTCTTGAGCGTCTCTTCATTTTCTCGGATCCTGTCTTCATGTCCCTTTCTGCTTCCACTCTCCTTTTCATGCTCCTTGGACAATTTCTCACTCTCATCCTATGTGAAAGGAGAAACAATCAAGCTATGTTCCACTGAATAAAGAATAACATATGAAAATTCAATTTGTACAAATCATGACTAAAGGTGAAAAAATGTGTACCACTTCATTGCAAGTTGTCTATTGAAGATATCCATGGAAATGCTATTATTAGACAATATGATTAACAACCACTGTCAGAATTGCCATTAACCCAAGAGGCCACATTATTGGTGCATGTTCACAAATAAACATTATAATCACTGAATTCAGAGGATTCAGGATTGGTTGTCTACAAAGGAGTATGAGTTGCAAGTGTGGAAAAGAGAAATTCCTACAAATGTCAATGAGTCTACACCTTAAATATATATGCATGCAGGCAACCAAGGAACTAGAATTTAGCCTTTTTTTTTGCTTTTGGAAGAAGGGAGACTGGCTAGGAAAATAAATAAAGAACAAGAGGAAGACAGGAGATTCCTACCTTAGCTGTAACAAACATATAGGCAACATAGAGCTGTGTGAGATTGTTGAGATCCTTGTCCAACTTAGTGTACTCCATATACTGTTGTTTCTCAGCCTGCAGCTTCGTCAACAGTGGGGTCACTGTCTCATTCAATAACTAGAACAAATCACAAAGAACTTGCAGAAATTCCAATAATGGGAGAATGTTATACAAACCGCTATTTTACATCAGCATTGTGGTTTGATGCATAACACAGAACAGCACATTCCAAAAAGGTTCTTTTCAAGAGAGACAAGGTGGCGATTGTCCAGTGTGTTCAAACTGAATTTGCATCAGGCATCCTTTCATGCATGGTGTGAGGGGATTTAACAAATGTACTTGGATTTTCTAGAACAGTGGAAATTCTTTAACCCCTAAGAAATGCTGAAACAAAACATCAAAAATGTCTAGTAGGTCAATCAGCAGACTTGCCAGCATATTCTGAAACCATAGCAGTCTTAACCCTTTCTAGACCTATGTGGGTACAAGATCTATTCATGCTGTACATTCACAAGATTAATTTTTATCAAACCAGATTTGTATGCCTTGCTTATGTTAAATATAAATGTGATACACATGAAGCAGAGTTCCCTAGCAAAAGCATGCAAGGGGGTCATGCCTACATGTCTCTTCCTCTCTGGTTAGGACTAGATTTTTTGTCCATAATAATCCTTGGAATTTTCAGTCAGGGTAAGGGCCCAAGTGAATCTATTACTCAGATCAACATAAACAAGTGCAATTCCTCAAATCCGCTATCTGCCATATATATAATGGGAGGGGGAAGGAAAGAGGTGATAGAGTTTGGGGAAAACGGGGAAGGAACTGATATATTTTGAATTCCCTCATTGTAAATGGTAAGTCTTCAGTTGTCGGGCCCAATGGCACAAGGTATAGGCAATTTGCAGATGAGGTGCATGTCCCCATGTTAGTTACTGCTACCAGCATCACGTTCCTTCTTGTTCTTTGTGACACCAACAGTACTGACTTGATTGCTTAAAAGATTAAGTTCACTCATATGTCTTCATTTCAGGTAGAAGTTTCTTTCATATAGTTCTAATTACTTACTGCATTGATTTCATCCAATTTGGCATTCTTCTTTTCAATAGTTTTAATACTCTGTATCTTCTTTGCTTCGTACATCTTGGTACCAGCTGCCTCTTCAAGCATCCCCAGTATCTGCCAAAAGAGAAAAATCATGTTAGACAACCAAAAATGTAAAATAGCCCTAAATATGCAGACTGAATGAAAGAAGATCCATTACCTCTGGAGGTTTCATGTTCAGAACTTTTGTGATTCGACCTTGCATGATAAGAAAGTGGGGATTGTTGACATTCAGCTGAACAGAGCGAAAGAGATCCTGGACTTTATTGTTTTGCACATTCACTCCATTGATCAGATACCTGTTCTTCCCACCAATCACAACCTAACTCCATCAAGAGAAAAAAAAAAGACAGAGGTAAAATATAAATTTCACAGATGAATACTAGTAGCATCAGACAAAAAAAAGTGAATGCAGATTTTGACCAGAGTTTTCAGTTCCTACTCAGTCCTTTTTTTTTTAATCAGAAATTTGGATATTATTTTTTTATAATAAATAACAGACCTTGCTCATGAAATAATTAACATACGTGCACAGCAGAGAAAACCAGGAAAATAATGTGCACTAGAATGGAATAATGCTAAGGCAGTAAGCATTGGGTTTTATTAGCTACTTTGAGTGCATGCAAATTCACAGAGTACAAACTGAAACAGAGTGAAATACATGAGGAAATGTCCTGACAAAGGGAAAGCTTGAAGCAATTGATTAATATTGGATTCCTTTAAGAAAAAATACTAATTCTAAAAATCAAATACTTTAATTGAAAGAGGCTGAAAGTTGTGGTGGCTGTCACTTTTAACACTCAAGGCCTACAAGGCTATGCCACTCTAAGCCATAAATACTTTTTCACCTATCTTTAAAATTTTTAAATATCATTATGTAAACATTTTCAAATTTCCACCCATTCAACAGCCAGCGTAGTGACTGCAGGCCACTGGTAAGGCAGTTAAAGGGCAGAGTATGAAACATAATTTCATTCTCAATTTAATTTCCCATTAAGAGATACACTATAAAGTGAAACCTGTGGATTCAGCCACCTCCCATTTGCTGCCAGAAATGCTCAGTCCCAATCGTCAGCTCCATAGGCTCAATGTTAAAATAACCTGTTTTATCCTGCCACCTGTCTAACGTGGCCAGCAGCCAAGGATTTGCAGAGCCTCTGTGCCAGCCACTCTTTAATCTGGCCAGAATGAAGGAAGGAACATTGCAGGTTGATTTTCTTCCTCTTCACTTCCCTGCCTTCTAGTCTCTAACTTTTCCTCCCTCTAATTTTCCTCTCTGCTCCCCCTCCCTAATCCCTGAATTGACCTGTTGCTTGGTTGCCAAGGTCACATCTTCGAAGTCTCAATAGTGTGAAAACGATAATCAGAGTTCTTCCATCATCTTACTACCTTTCTTTAAGGCTGTTGAGTGCCACGGAGAAGCTCAAGTGCCATTTAGCAGAGAAGGGGATGGATGCAAGAGATAGTTGACGTGATCACAATGCTTGAAGCATCTCTGCATAAGCAAGTGTGCTTACCCTAGATGTGCGCATGTCAAACAAAAAGTACATGAAGGTAATATGCAATCTGTTACAGTCAGTATTTGCCAGTATGGTGCATGGATCAGAGCTGAAAGAATTTGAATGGGGAATGATAGTTGGTTGTAATGTTGTCCTTTGTCCCAATACTTTTGGCAATCTATTGTACATATGAATTCCAGGGTATCTGAAATTATTTAGTCTATTAATTCAATTTTCAAGCTTATGATTGACTAAATTGTAACTGGAAGCATCATGCAATGGCAAAAATTCATGTTGATACCTGTCGAGTGATGTTGATCTCGTCATACTGCTCATAACCAATTGGTGACTGTGACTTGTCACGGTTATCAAATTGGATTGTCACAGTTGCCTTGTTCACTCCTGCCTGCCCACTCTTGTACACCAATTCAGTGAGATTTGTAGCCCTCACCTGAAAAATAAACCAGTCTTTGAAAAAAAAATTTGGGAAATATATGTTATTATATGAGAACCAGAAAATTGTTTTATTTACTGGAAGAACTCCTAGGCCTGTCCATGGTAACAGAAGTGGAGGATATTGAAACAAAGAATGGTTCAGGTTTGACTGAGAAACTGAGGCTTTTCTGTGTTGTTATTGTTGGCAACTGCCAACTTAGTTACATCAATGGCTAACAAAAACTTGAAAAAAAAAACCCACCAGTTTAAGTGCTAGAAAACATGGTATAAGTTAGTATATATTTCATCTCCCAAAAGAAGCAGACATGCAATGCAAGCTATGCTATGTTAGGACCAGAGGGTCGAAACTGACCTGAGAAAGATTGGAGATCCCCATGACAAAGCATATAGAATCCAAAATGTTTGACTTTCCAGTCCCATTCAATCCAGTTATGGCATTGAACTGGGGATCAAATTCTTTGACTTCAGTCCGTTTTCCATAGGATTTGAAGCCATCAATTATAACATTCTTGATGTGCATATTGGCAAGTTCTAGCCTACGATAGGCTATAAAGAACCTGTAATAGAATCAGCCAATGGCATCAGTAAAAGTCAAATCAAAGGAATCTAAATATGAAACTTTCAATTCTCTTCCATACTATCATATGACAAGGCCTAAGTCTACCAGGTCTTAAGTAGCGTTAAGCAGTTTCTAGGTCCAAATAGTTATTCTTTCATTAGACAAAACAAAATATGCAGGTCACACCTGCTAATCACAATAATCAACTCAGAGGCACACAAGAAGATATGTATCATTGAACTATTCTTCACGTCATCCAGTAGAAGTAGTATGGGGTAAGCAGAATTTTTAAGATCAAAGCCAAAATAGGGAGCCTTGCAGAACATAAACATAGACATAGAAATGTCAATTAATGTTGATTTAAAATAAATTCATACGACACCTGAGTGTTCATACCACTGAGATATGGCTGGGTTCATCAAAGCAATAACATAAAAATTCATTAAAATCAAGTTCAGTCTGATTTATCACAAACATAATGAAATATTATGGGAAAGTCACAAAATAATTACAAAAAGTTGAACCACTTCCTAGTAGGCTAGGTCTAAATGGCTTATTTCATATGATCATTAAATCAAGAGTTGCATTTTGGGTATTCCTACATAATGTGCACATACTCCCCACATCTATCAGCTATGTTATGTGCAAACTATTCCCAGGTGCAAATATATATGAGATTTCATTTGGTATAGTATTACATCCAACACAATGATTTAGTGTCATTGAAGCAAAACTTGGCCCGTGACTAGGCCTACATAACAAGGTGAGCCTAGTCTCATAAAACGCTAAAGAAATACAATTCTGCTTTAGTGTGCTTAAATGGATGCGAATTATTCTCAAATCTTCAATTGCAGTATTGGCATGTTATTAGGCTGAAGCCTAGGTCTACGCCTCGATGATGTCTAGCTGGAATGCTTGAGACGGAAGAAGGGAGAAGCGTATTAGCGCATGGAAAATGAAGGCAATGTCAAGTACTTTGAAAACTCCCGTAATACTTGATGCTGTAATAAGTTAACGAACTACTTGTCGGCCAAAAGCAGTTGTGTAGAAGTGGTTAGGGAAATTTGCTTCATGAGAGCAATGATCAGTCACTTCCGACTTTTATTTAAGTAATTGGGGAATAGTAGGACCCACTTAGACGACAAATGAACACCTAAAAGAAACAATAAATACATTTACGAGGCAGTCTGAGTCGGATCCCGCGCGAAACTGTGAATGTTCCCTCTCACAGCGGTACCATCATACGCGAAAATAAGAGGTGTATGCGGAACGACCGCGGGAACAGAATGGAGTTTGCGGGCAGCTGAGTTTTGTTGCAGCTTAAGTTTGCTTCCCGACAACAACGCTGTGACCACAAATATGTGCTCTTCCTGCCACCAAAATTTCGCATCAATCTGCTTCTCCTTCTGCAAAACAACCTTTGAGTCAAAATAGGTAGGTATACCTTGAGGAAGGCGAAAATCTGCATTGACGGTTTGTCCGAACGAAGGATTTTTCTCTCGCTCAACCCTCTACCGAAACGTATTCTCCTACTCTTAGCTCTTCTTTTCGTTGATTTCGTTGTTGTTTTGGGCTATAGAGGAATCATTCTTTCATTCCTTCAACAAATTTTCAGCACTGACTCGTTGTGAATGGCATGGAATAATCTCGAAATGCTCGTCCCAATCGTCAAGGAAATCTAATAATGCCGAGTCTCTGAAATCCAAAGAGCAGTCGTCGAAGATGCCCCTCCCGGCTTCTCCCACGAGTTTCAGTCGTATGCATGTCCCAAAAGTGCGTATCGTCCATAGCCGGGCTGAATAAGTGCTTAAGCGCAGAGCGTGATATTTTATTTACTTTCATTCCCATTGTAACCCTGTTGTAGGTTTTGCTTAGTGGTGCCCTCGGTGATGAGTGGTCAGAGTGTATTCTGAATTCACGGTTTGTTTAGGACCAAGCCACGCATTGTTGTCAGGCCGACAAGCGCTGCCAGGGACGGTTGCAACTGTGATGGGAGTTGCGCCTCATGTCTTATGTCACACACCTTTGGCGCACTTTAGATTCGGTAGTTTTGGGCTCTCTCCACTCCCCGATTTACCTTAAGCTATTGGCCTATGTGGACTCCGCATTTCATGGAGCTTATTCTCGAAGTCAGTGTCTGTAGGCCGAACTGGGAATCATGACTTCTAGCGTCACTAGGGTTGCCACTCGTTAATAATTAGTATGGACAGTTCATATTTCAGATGCAATGTCCATACTGCAAACTTCTCTTAATATGGGCACTACTTCATCCATAGTTAAAACTTATTTTTTTCTAGTTAAAACTTAATAGCAGCTACAACCACTTTTTTCTTCGAGCCAGAGTAGTAGGCCACACTCTTAGAGTATCAATTGGTACTTTGGCTATAGGTGGCTGTAGGTATTTGCTGCAGAGTCACAAACCCAAGTATACTTCATATATTAGTCCATATTTCCATATGTCCATATTTTGCTAATTTCAAAGGTGGCAATCCTAAGTGTCACTCTTAACTTGATTTAGCTCCATCCAACCCACTGAACACCGCCATGTTTTTTAAAGTTAGAGGAAGGTGCTTTCCTTTTGCCGTGGTAGGTTTGAGTGATCATTTTTGGCCTATCAGCAGAAAACTAGTCAGCTTTGTTGGTGAAGGATATCATGGTCATTTTAAAAGTTCTTACATTATGTCAGGATAGGAAATAAGGAAAATGCAATTTAGCTAATGTAGGATGTCTCATTGGAAAGTGGGAATTTCTTGATCTGGTGACACATGCATTAAAATCAGCTTTTAAAACTGCTCATTAGGGGTGCTATTCCCTTGCGCACTGCTTGGGCTTTGAGTGAGTCCTCTGCCATGACTGCCTCTTGTGAAATCATGCACTTTAATAGGTGCTCTTGGGTTGAAGTTGATGAAAACAATATACATTGCACTTGTAACAGGATGAAAATAATTACTCTGGTGTATGCCACATGTACAACTTTTATGCCTAACCATAGACATCCTTTTCACTTCAGAAAGCCAACATGGCCATTACCT